ACTACAACTGGAATATACCCCAATTGGCTACTTACAATGTGTTACACATGATTAGAAAAAAGCAAATGACAATTATAAATAACGGAATAAAGTTGATGAAAATTGCTCCCTTTATAATGCTGAGCTGACTACTGTCAATATTTGCACATTATTTGATTTGATTTTAGTGTAATTTTCTTGATACTTTGTTTCATAAAATCCTCCTTACGACCCACCAAAATATTTTCCTTTACGCGGTACACGATAATCTCATCTCTAACATGCTTTTCGTCCAGCCGATTTTCAACAGCGTAAATGCAATTAAATTTTTTGAAACTAAAATATAATTGCAATTACGCGTAAAAAAGTACAAACTTGTTTACAGCGAATTTCCTTCTATTTTGATCCAATGAAATTGCAACGATTTTTCACGTATCATTATGCAGTGAAACTAAATATCTTTGCTCGTTTATTTAGCTACATATATTTCCTTAAATATTATCCCAGTGTGCGTTAATTGCTGTAGTGACAACTGAGGTCATTTTTTACATTGTGCACATATTTTGCCTTGTTCTGCACATAAGGTAAGGATAAAATGTGTCTGAGGAGCTTCATATATCGAATGATGTTTAAAGTTTAAATGTTTAGTGACTAAAATAGACAATTAGTGGAAAAGGCTTTTTTCGCTTTAAACACGATCGCAATAAAATTAACCTAAACTTATATATAAGGATGCATGGCAATATGGTTTGGACACGGATTCGAATGTAAGACAGCTTAAATTATAATTGTTTAGGCCAAAAAATCACTTAATTAAGAATTATGACGGACGATCTGATTTAAGTGCAATCTTATTTCGTGCACTTATTTAAAATCCATGCACAGCAAATATCTGTCCATGTACACTAATATCCAAATTAATCACCACCTTTACAATCGCATTAATTAAACTTTTCATTACGAATTATAAATAGACGTGTAAAAAAAAGTTTTTTTTAGTAAAAAAAAAAAAACAACAATAATACTCCAACAAACAATAATACTCCAACAAACACTACTTGGGAAAATGTCAGCACTCAGGACACTGTCTTATAAATGTGGCGTACATTTTCGTAGAAAACGATTGTCATTACCTGTAAAAAAGTCCAAAATTGCATGAAAGTCAAAACATTTTTTGTGAATAATCTAACAGAGTATGCATAGGAATTTTAAGGTTATTTAAAAAAGCAAATCCAATAGAAGTCTGCGCATACCTCACGTACAATATATCTCATATACTCCTAATATCAAAAACGATAAATAACTAAAAAGTGAAATTCGTGAACAGTATCATTTACAGCACCTAAATTTAATTAATATAGTTAGATTAAAGAAAAACAAAACCATAAAGATTAAGAGTTCCGAAGATTTAAGTTACGCGTTTTGAATAATCTACTAAAAATCTGCGTAGGCCTATTCTGAGTACATACAAAATGTTTTTAGTAAATTTTTTGGCCATAGGTAATTCTAAAAGGCACATACAGACAGTTAATTTTAATTTTTTATATTGATCCCGAGGCATTGAAAACACTCGAACAAAGCATTTTACGTAGGAATATTTGGACGTTATTTCAGAGACAATTTTTGCGTAAATAAATAATTTCTGGCCTTCAAGTTGATTGACCTGATAACAAATGTTTCATTCGTTTTCTTTGAAATCGTAAAAGCCTATCAATTCATGCGATATCAGGTAGTTTTTTAACTAACTATTTCCAAATGCACATTTCTGCTTGCAGCTTCCAACGCTTTTTTACTTTAAAACAGCAAAAATTACTAAAGGTGACTTGGTTTATGGAACATTTACGATTGAAACTTTTTTCAAAGCAGTGTGTATGTTAAATATGTTTTTATTTGTTGCAAAATTTGTTTTAGTCATTACGGTAGTCTATGCGTGTCAATCATTCAGTTATTTTTGCTGTTTCCGTTATGTCTAGGTCCCTTAAAATTTTGTTGTTCCATTTTTGCTTTGATTGTTGTTTTAACCCTTTTTCCTGCTTTTAATTATCCCCAGTAATTCTTTTTACATTTAAGTACCTTTTTTATTTTCCCTTGGTGACTTTTTTAGTAAACAGTACGGATAATTAAAAATTATTACGTTACAATGTAGTATTAGTAATTATCATTTTGTACTTTATTTTGACGTTTGTGACAGAGTTGATTTGTTTACGGTTTTGATTGAAGCCGACCCTATGTCTTTTTCTGGCAAATTTAGCAACTAGACAATAATTTCTAAAAGCTGTATTTTTTAACCGTTTTTAATAGTTTTTTAGACTGAATGGTCCTTGAATTTAGGCTTTGATGTAGTAACAATGTTAAACTTTGTGTTATATTTTTGATTTTCACAAGAATTTTTGAAGCTCATTGGGCAACGCCTGGTTCGTAGTTATTAATGCACCTTGTGAAAAAAAAACTTTTGCTTCAATTTTGCTAATACAAAATTTTAGACAATGGTGTTGTGATTGTGCTTTGTATATTCACTGCAAAATGTCTACCATCATTTTTCTTGATGTCATTGAATAATTATATTTCTAACTTGCTTTGCAGTTGTGTGAATATTGTTACACGAGGATACTTATGGTCAATAAAAAAGATTACTTTTAAAGACATTTGACGTCGCTCATTTAATCTTATGACATTTCCAAATCGTTTCTACATAATGAAATGTTAAACTTGAAACAAGTCAGAATTCTAAAATTCGCAGCTATCGCTGACTCCTGGGCGTCTTTGTCACGAGAGGCAAATATAAGGGATCTGCCAGTGCAATATTTTTACTTATTAAGGCTTTGGCTATTTTTTCGGTTGCCAGTTTTCAAACGTAGTGATGAACAACTTTGACGGACTGACTAAATGTTGCGTAGGTCAAAAATGTGCTTCCTAGCCGATTTATGCCGCTATCGACGAAAACGCTTTTACTCGTATCTGGTTTTGTGATGTGATAATCCAAGATCTATGGTATAGTTACCCAGGAGAATCGTGTTTAAGTAAGCTAGTGGGCAGTAAGAAAGCTAGGACATTTTATTTAAAATCCTAACATTTAAAACAGTACAAGTCTAAAACTGATGCAGTCCGCGTATTGCATTTTTTATTAATTTTATTACTTTTTTAGTAAAATAAACTTTTTCTCAGGTTTTTTTGCATTTTACCTAGACTAAAACCACCAATTTTGTTTTGCCTGAATTTAGCTCATCGCTTTGATTTGTTTTCTCATTTTAAGTTGGGTGGGTAAATTTTTCATGATTTAAAATGACACATCGAAATACTATTTCACTTTCATGATACTAAAAAGAGTATCCATCGTTAGTCTGAAGGAACAGTTTTTGCTTACATTTTTTCCCATTTTAAATGATTACACTATTTTAATTCTGCTGTAAGCACTTTTACCAAGGCTTACTACTTAGTAAAATATTTCATTTTCAAACTTAGGCTTTAGTGCTGTCGAAGAAAGGACACGTATTAATATTACATAAAAATAAATCAAGTTTCTATATTGCATAAAGTACAATGAGAGCAATATGATTGCATGTGTGCTTTCTTTGCTCAGTCGTTATGCCGTTTAGTTAAACTCAGTGGTTACTGAGTTCTGCCAAGTACACAAAATAGTAAGTGTAGTGTAACTTAGCGATCTGTAACCAGCATAAAGTTAAATTAAAGTAAGTATTTTGCTTTCGATAAACTCGAAAACATATTTTTTGTAGTTCCAAACAAACATCCAAACTGCTTTTTACGCATGAACATACCTAGTCATTCTTTATAAAGATTTTCCGGACCATCCAGGCACTGAATTATTTCTAGAAGATTGCACAAGTAAATAACCAATACATTTTCACTACATTTACGTACGTTTGTAAATTTTAAGGCTTGAGCCCTGGCAATGTTCTTCGGATCCAGTCTATTTAAGAAGTCATCATCGGGCACCTCTACTAAAAGCCCTCAAATGAAGAATGATTTTGGTGACATTGGCATTGGGAAGCATCAGTCAACAGCCTCAAACAGTCCAGGAGTTATTAAAACTGCTCTTTGGGAATCTATTTGTGACGCCGATTTAAACAGTTCTTCGGACCTTGATGAATCAATGGAATATTTCTATTCACGGGCCAACATATTTTCATCGAATCAAGAAAAGTCAAATTCTCCGGTTTCAAGTACTTCAGCAAAATCGGCATCGGCATCAAACTTATCGAATCCTCAGCGGTGGAAAACGCGTTTCTTTATGCCAAATGAGTCACCAAAACCACCAAAAACTCCCGAGGTTAACAATGCCTCATCACCTTTTTTGAGGTTCCAATCCAAGCCATCGGCATCACCATCAGTGAATAACCGATTTTCGTCAAAATCAAGCGAGTCGCCTGCAACACATTCTCCCTCGGTTTCTTCAGTGCTTGAGATTCCTGAACAGGATTCACTTCCATCCATCACTGCAACAAAATCACCAAAGGTTACTCGCGTTGGTGACGTGTTTGAGAAACCGCAGGACTTTATTGCATCTGGATCACGCACTGAAATTTCTTCAAACACAATGAACCAGGTAGACGAAGACGACCAGTATCTCCCCGCTGACGAGAGGATGAGTAAGTCTCAACAATCTGCGGAAAACCATTCTTACCCTCACCAGGAACAGTGCTCAAATGATGAGGAAGCCAGCCATGTAAGCGGAATTGAAAAGTAAGTGGTCCAAGAGCGGCAACATCTTCTGATTCTATAAGACTACATTTGGACAATTATGGACGCCAATAATGTTTATTTATCAAATATAAACAGCTACTGGTCCTAGCGATCAATAAAGGAAAGCCTATAACAATCACTTTTTGTAATTGAACTGTGATTTGATGCTTGTCTAACCTCCGGAATTCCAGTCAATCATTATTTGATATTTGAAGTTGTATAATTTTAAGGGAAATCAAGTTTTACTATGTAATTTGTAAGTGTTTTTAAAGCATTTACTTAAGTTGCGACGAATTTGATTGATTTTCGAGAAATTTTCATTCAAGGTTGCCTCTATTGCATCTAAAACTGAGGAACGAGGCCATGAAGTTGGAGACTTGGAAAAATGAAATGGTTACCAAACTTAAGAAAAACGTAAGTTAATACTTCCCTCAACCATTGACACCAACCTAGGAAGAGGAACTTGCAGAGGCGAACACATTGATAGAACGCCTTCGAAAGTCAAACTTGGAGCTGCAAATGGATAGAGAAAACGCCAGTCTCAAATTAAAAGATGAAGTAGAACAAAGAGAGGCAACGGAAAAAAAGTGTGTCCTCTCTGCACACCAACCAATTAATTTCATTGTAGGATTATAGGAACTCGGGAATTATGTGAAGTTATCAGAACTCAAATCGAACTGATTAGGTCAACGTGCTCGTCAAGTAAGGAATTTTATAGTCTAATTTTTTTCGGATTTATAGTGTCTACTCCAATGTTTAATTGATATTGCAGACGGTTTGAGTTACCATTTAAATCAGTTAAGTTGGCGACCGATCAAAGTTGTTATTAAAAATTGTTTAAATTAAATTAAAATTTAAGCCCACTGAGAAGCTGGCAGGAGAAACTTGGAGTTCATTTAGCTGAAGTAAATGTAATGGAAGAGGAAGGCATCAATTCGTAACCTAATTGTGAGTATCGGTTTGTTTAGACAAGTGGGTTTATTGATATACATGTGAACCTTTTATTCAAACTACAAAGATCTCGCTTCAAAGGTTTCGCGAAGTCGTTGATTTCTCATCCAGGCTATGGTTACGGTGGTTCTGTTAGTGGCTCAGGGGGCTTCTTCATGCAATCTGGTCTGTACATCATGAGACTTATTTTACTCTCTTAATCGATTGGTGGACGTGGTACAATGCTACAATTTTGTCAGGCGGATACTACCATTAGTAAATTCAGTTAAACATTATGGGTATTTTGGAGTGGATGTTGCTTTCATTGCATCTTCTGTTTTTAGCTATGCAAACATGTATTAAAACAAAAACAGTTCAGAAGTCCCTCGAAAGTTTATTGGAGAAAGCGCTCCTTGATTTTCAAGACTTGAATGCCCAACTAAATGTCAGCAAGGAGAACAATCGTGACCTTGGTAACTGCTAACTTGTCCATTGACTATTCTGCTTAGCTGAAAAGTATGAACAATTAAGTGAGAAACACATCAATGAAGTGAATGCTCTTTCAACCCAAAACACGGGGTTAGTTGCCGAGGTGGAGACTCTTAAGTCAGAAAAGGAACGTTTCACTTCAGTTATTATGAATCAGGAAGAAGGCCTAAAGGAACAGACAAAAAAATTACGGAATGCTTTTGTTAACATGGAATCATTATATGAAGATGTTTCTCAAGTGCGACTCATATTTGAGGAAGAAGTCAAGAAAATGAAGGCAAGTTCTTACATGATTGCCAAGAATCGTATCCCAAAAATTAATTAAACAACGCTAGATATATTCGTTCGAATAATCTAGAAATACGTAAGAAGGCAAATCAGAGCTTTTATAAGTAGCAGTTTTAAAAGAGGCCCCATGGCAACTTTGTGTTTTACATTCAGGATCCTGCCATAAACTTGAAATGACAGCACCAATTGCAAGAGGAAGAGTGCTCGTGCTCGCATCAACTGCTTAATTTTTATGCATGCAAAAAAATTACCTGTCTTTTTCAGGAGGAAACTGAGACCTTTTATGCACGCAATTCGTCCTATTTATTGTAATGGAAGTTTTTCTTGACATAAAAAATATCCACAGATAAGAACGCCATGTATAATTGTTTGCCTTTAAGAATTTTCATGACGGATTTAGAGTTTCTTGCTTTTTCTCGCAACCATGAATTCCGCCTTCAAAACTTCAGTGTCTGGTTTTTCAGATAATCAGTGAATTCACGATTATTTTTTGGAAAATAAACCTAGCACAAGCACAGACCGACGCGGCAGCAAAAGCACTTGCCAAAACTCGGCTCGAGCTAAAACTTGCAAAAAGCATGGAATTTCCACATATTGTCCTAAACATAGTGACCAGCAAAGCGTTTTACTTTGTAAAACTCAAAAGCGGAAGATGTCGAGAAAGTTGAAGGGAACTAACAACAAAACTAAACTTGAGTCCAGCAGCCGATCGCAGTGATGTAATGAAGGTTACTAGTTTATGATATCATCGCTTGACTGTACAAGTTTAACTTTCCTTAATCTTACCCACATAATTTCGAATACACGTTCTATCGTGTTGTTTGTGCAAGTGAGATAACGCTGCTACTTGCAATTTTTCGGTACCAACAAGGGATAACACTTGCCTATGAATCGTTGTTGTTGTGGCACATTAGATTGTTATAAGTGGCGAAACGTTTCAGCCAACTAGAACACCATCGACAAGAATTAAAACCAAAGGCTGTAACAGAAGCCTATTAAGTATTTGCAGCTGGTAAACAATTTTGGACTAAAAAGCACTCCATTTTTGTGTCCAGACCACTAAATTAAAACTAAACAACTTTTCGTGTTTCTTAACTACTATCTGCGCTGTTTCGAACTTACATATATTTTCGTACTAAGTTCTATACCTGTTTTCAACCAATTGACTTAGTTAACATTCGAATTTTTGACCAAACTTTTCTGTCGACTAGTTTTGCCGTACTAATAAACTATCTTAAACTGATTTTAAATTCAGTAAGTCGGCGTTCCTATTACAAGTTCGTTTATCATAAATACGCACCGAGAAGGTCATCAAAGTGAAATTTCATGTAGAAGAATAAATGCTTCCGTTAAATGTCGAAAAGCACAAACAGGAATGAAAACAGGGAGCAAAGGGGTGAGGGTCCACGAGGTTACCTTTGAGAAAGTCTTCTTCAAAATGAACTAGGTGTTTGGGCCTCTGGTGACTTGTTCATGTCTTCTTAAAGGTTGAATTGCTGAAGGCAAAGACAGACATCAGAGATAGGGACAGCCGTGTATCTGAGACCGTTCGAAAGTGTTCAGAGCTGTCTGAAGACCTGGCGCGTGTCAGCTCACTGCTGCAAAACTCGAAGAACGTTTGTCTGGAAAAGGGGCAGAAAATCACGGCTCTCGAAGAGGAAGTCAAACGCTTGGCAAATGCGAAAGACAAACTGGAAGAGGAAATCCACTTGGTTTGTAATCCCCCAAAGCTTGCAGAACTCTCCTTTTCACCGACGCATTGTCTTATTGTGTCCGTTTTTCCCACAGAAACAAATAAACGACGAAGCGGAGTTACAGATTAGACAAAAGGAAATAGTTCAACTCACAGAAAAACTGAATCGAGCCTTTCCAGTCCTGATTGACTTGTAAGCTCTCCAAATGCCTTCCACCTTAACTGCAATTTGTTTTAGGGTCAGTGAGAAAGACGAGCTTCTGCATGATTTTGAGCAGGAAAAAAGTAAATTTGTTGTATTTCTGGAATAAAATTTCTAGTGAATCTACTCGAAAATATATCCAAAAATGAGGATGAACTGGTGAGTTTCGATGATTCGATTTTTAGGTCCACAGGTAAGTAGCTCACCATCGGTAGCGATTTGATCTCTCATAATTAAAACACCATTTTTAAATTCGGCCGGGATTCACTTGTCCTGACCACCGAATGATCTTGGCAAAACAAATTTTGGCTTAAATTATCGGGACGTGTTTGCCAGGTGGATGTAGGGTCCCAGTTACAATGCTGAAGTTTCCTACAACAAGACGGCGGTGCAATGTTGAAAATTTGCGTTCGTGTTATCCACAATGTAGGCTGGATTTGCTGGGCTTTCAAGCAAGTGAGTCGTCGAGATAGGGTACTCTGTCTGCAAATTACTTGCCCTAAACACTTGTCGTCTCTTCTACAATGTTTAATATCCATGGCGCAACATAAAACTGCACATTTTCCAACTCGACTGCTCTGTACGTTTTTGGGATTTTCATTTAAAAAAGAGGCGAATTGAAAAGGATATACTAGGTTTCGTACCTTTTGCCACGCGAACATTTTTTACCCCTTCTTCTTAAGTGATGTTAAGGCTTTTTCGCGTTTAAGATGCGTGTCAAAACACAAGAACGCAAGCTTTTATTTAACCTCGAAGAACAGAAGATGATCGTTCTTGAAAAGGAAAGACTGATCCAAACACTCAGAGATGCCAACGAACAGGACCTCGTGAGTTGACAACGTTTATACTATCGAAAGAGTCGTGAAGTAAAACACATTATAGCAATCCACTTAAATGTCAATGAATTCGTCTTGAAGAAAATTATTTCCATGTCGAAATTAGGTGACAATCTTTAGCGCGTAGTACAAACATCGCCTCGACAAGTTGCATAGCGTCAAGACCTTCTAGTCGACATGGAATTTTGTGAAACTGTGGGCTGTGTAGGTTAGACATATGAATTTTAGATGTCTAAAGCAACGTAGATTTCATCTCAGTATATAAGTTAAAAATACACCTTACTAATCGAATTACCACTTGTAGAATTGACTGATAGTGAACTCGACTAGTAACTTAGTGACAACGAAATAGAACTTACAATACTTGATAGTAGTGGATGAGCAAGTGTCTGCATTCTTCCCACGTCTAAATTTGGATTCACGTGTCGCAATTGCCTCCCCTTTCTTGTGGGATGTGCTTAGTTTTTTGCGGGTTTAATTTGGCTGCGGCTTTTGCAGTTGATAAGCGTAGATCGAGTATCGAGTGGCGCCTGAAAATCGTTTTGATTTTCTGCAACAGAAACAAATTGAAAGTCTTAACTCTGAATTGGCGAAACGCGAAGACGCCCTCAAGAGCCTCGAGGACACTCAAAAGTCTCTCTCCACTTCACTGGCACATGAAAAGGTGGGTTAGATTGTGCGGGAGTTTCTCTAATGCCCATCGTTTTCAGAAGTCCCACGAAGAAACTGGCGAGAAATTGACACAGTTGCAAAAAAATGAAGAAATTCTTAACAAGGAAATACTCGAACTAAGGTAACTCGATTCATCTACTGTACTTGATAAGAATGCGCATTGCAATTCCTCTTGGGTTGAGTAATTTTTGACTCTAGTTCCAGACCACAAGAAGACCATTCTTTCGTTTAAACTTCCTTGCCTTTCCAGACACCTCTCCTCTAACCAAAAGGCTGAGCTCGAGAATCTGACAGCCAAAATTACTGCCCTCGAGCTTGAACAAAATCACATGAATGTCAAGAACCAGGACATGGAAAAATGCATTGAAGTGAGTTCCGAGTCCTGCTTAGAAAGGTTTAGCCAGATGCAGACTTGGCAAGCTGTGTTCCGCTCAGTCATCTTGTCCGATGGCCGTATTGAGGCAACGATGAAAACATGCGAATGACGTTTGTCACAGCCACTTCCACCTCCAAATCCAGGCTTAACGTTTAGCCTGCACAGTGCAAACAAAGCAGTGCAGTGACGGTGCGCAGTCGAGGCGGAGGAACGTGTGCGATGTGCTGATTTATGCAGCGACTATCGATTCGCCACTGCTTCCAATTAAACTGGTTGCTGGCTTCTTTCATCTTTCTCTCCTCTCAGATGCTCGTGATAAGAGTCGCCTGCTCAGAAAAAAAACGCGTGGAAACTGCGTTTTTAGGGTGAAACCAGTTATTGGATTCAGCATTTAGATTTCACAAAGCATCTTCTAAGGCCTGCGACTGCGTGAATCTAGTTGTGCAGAAGGTCATAAATTTGCGTGTTTAGAATATTTGGATAGATTATGAGACGATTGATGGGCTTGGTGAAAATTCACAGTCAAAAAATTAAAATTCTACCCATATCTGAATTGGCTAAGCTGGTAATTTAATTAACAAATGGTTCTACCGCCAAGGAATTCCCATTTATAATTATAATTGCACAAGTTGAAAAAAATAAATCTGGTAGAAACCTTAAAAGTACAATGAAGTCTGGTTGTTTGATGTGCGAAAGAACTGTGGCAACTGAAGTTTTTTTATGTATTTACTTGAAAGATTGAAACTTTTAAGGACAATTGCTGAGGTAAAATAGAAGAAACTTGTGAATTATTTGCAGTTGAAGAATGATCAAATTATGCTCCTGGGAGGACAAATGCAGGAAAGTGAGCATAAAATACAGGTCCTCGAGGAGGCAGCCACTCGGGCATGTCAAGAGGCACGCGAAAATTCCGCTAAACTTGCTCAACGGGAAGTAGATCTAGCGCAACTACGCATAGAGCTTCAAACAGCAGAATCGGAGAGAATGGCTGCTGTGAAACGGTGTGACGAAGTACGCGCCGAGCTTCTCTATGCGGTGGAGCAGCAGCAGCAGGAATCAGACAAAGTTGTGCGTCAGAAGGACAAGGAGATTGAAACTCTCCAGAGTGCTCTGTGTGCTGCCAAGAAGGAAACCGACAAGAGCTCCAAGCGAAATGTAAGTTCGTCCTTTTATTGCAACCGGCAGGATCAGACCATCAACCAACTGGGGTACATCGCATGTGACCACGGGAGTAGCATGGAGCTTGAGATAAGCACTAGTTTAAAACGATCAATGCGCATTACAGCACGTCAGACGAATGACAAGTATTACCAGACGAAATACTTTTGCGTCTAATCATGTAGCTAAGGGTAGTTTTCAAACAGCTGTTCAGACCTATGGCTCTCAAAGCCAAAAAAAGCATCACAAATCATTGCGGAAGAGATTGGGCTATAACTTGAAACTAATCTTCATGTTCCTGCTTTGGGAATTAGCGTTTTTGTGTAATAATGTCAGATGACGCAACCTATGGTATATCGCTCGGTGGAGCCGTGAGTGGAGTACACCATGATGTTTAATGCTTCCTCGCCTCTTTGCCAGGAAAAGAAGATGGCTGAAAGCGAAGCGCAAGTAGACAAACTGAAGGACCAATTAAGGGATACTATGCAGGAAAAGGTTGGTCCTACCTTTGAAGTCAGATTCTTGCTTTGAAAATGTTTCAGGAATTTAACTGATTGTCTGCTTTGATCGTAGAAAGACTTGTCGAAGCAGCTAACCGTGAGCAAGCAACGAATAACGAAGCTGGAGAAGGAAGTCAATGAAAAGGTAAGGTCATTAATCGGTCCTCCTTCTTATTATAACCATGGACGTCCGAATGGCAAAATTCGTTATGCGTCGTGTCAGAACGGAGTGTTTGTTTAGTGCTGAATGAAACGGCCGGTTACTGAATGTCATCTGTGTCAAACTAGAATTTAAAGAGTGCTTTCGTAATATCCTGTGATGAGCCTTGCACTGTAAGACTATTGGTTTTAGGTGGACTGTTTGGCCAGAAGTGAAAAGACAGTTTCAAATCTCGACTCGGAGTTAGCGGACCTGCGCTGCGAACAGGCGAAAACAGTCGCGATTCTACATGAGCAGGAAACCGAAATTGAAAGGCTTCGTCGTGTGGAGGCCGAATTAGCCGAATTAAGGCAGTCACTTGCCGAAAATTCACCTCCCTGCCTGACGCAAATTCCCAAGTCCATCGAAAATGACATCAAGAAGACGCCGCGTTCGCCGTTTCTTTCTGAGAAGCTCAACCAACTTGTGAGCAATTTCGTTAGTCCGTCCTACTTTTTATTATTTAATTCTTCCACTGCAGGTCCCTCAGTGTCGCTCAGTTAAGTTAGATCCCTTATTAAAACTCGGTGAGAAGTTTTTTTTGATTTATGGAGGGGCGCATGTTGATAACTCGATTGATAACCGCACTATTCGAGGGCTAAGATGGGATGAAAAGAGTTTCAATAATGAATTTCGAGGAAGAAAGTGCCTTTGATTTGAAGTTCTTCTTAGTGTCGAGATCAGAAATATTCGTGTAGGATGTATCTGATAGACTGCAAATGGTTCATTTTTGTATGGTACAACACCAGCTACTTAAAACTGCCAGTCCGTCAAAAACAAAGTTGTCTGATTTGTTGCATAAGCAACAAGTTTTATGATGTGGAAGATTCCCCTGCAAAAGAAGCGTAAACAGGTGCTGTGGAACTCATTATTCTATACTCAATCAGTCCTATTGAAGCTTGGTATATTTCTTGGTATATTTAATCCAAATTGTGCTGAGACGTAGATCAATTTTATTTTAGTATTATGTGAGGGTAACCCACAACGATTCGCCAAATGGTACCCTCGACTAATTTTACTTAAAACCGCAGACTCTTGGAAAATTGTTGAGGTATTTCTCGTGTGCTCACTGCGGTTTTAGGGTTTTCAGATTTTAAAATCTTAATGATGTCATTACGTGATCACTTCCCGACATAATTCCTTTTGCGTGACACGCAGAATCTCCTGAAAACGCCCCAAAGGACGCCAAAGAGCATCCTTAAGCAACCTGGCTCGGAGTGCAAGCGTCGAAGGGTCCTTCTTATTTCCCCTGAGAAAGACATGGACATGGACAGACAGTGTGAGGAGTTTGAAGCAGATATTGACATCGTGGAGAGGGAAGACGACGGTTTTATTCCCGCGACGCGCCCTCCAGTCACACCTGCGCCCTGGCGAACCCCACATTTCCGGGGAACTCCTGAAACACGGGTAATTGAATTTCTCTGATGCCAAATTATTCACCATCGCGGTCCTGAGGAGCTGCATCCAGTACGCTCAACGATAATTTACGCATTTAGTTGACTAAACGACCATCAAAGACGATATCGAGATGCCTTAGGTTTGAAGTTGTCCCTTCGGTTTCTAAGCCGGGGCAACGAGGTGTTGACAACGAACATTGATGCATTTATCTTGTGTTAACTTCAATAACAACTGTGGAGATTTCGAGTTACGGAAGTAACCACTGTAGCTTTACTTAATTCTAACATTACATTAAAAAAAAACTTGATTGTAATTAATGGCGCGATATGGTTAAATCAGTAGTGTCTACTCTATTTTTACTTACTAATTCTTACCAACGGTTGCACGCTTACCTTCGTCCCTGCAATGAAAACTTTGTTGTTCCTTACCAAAAAATTTCGCCTAACTATGTTAGAATTGCATGAAATCACGCGAATTGTTGGAGTACGAATGTGAAAGAAGAAAATCCGGTGGAGGATGTGGCAGAACTTCCCAAATGAGGGTCCAAATAGCAGTCTTTGTCCTTGTGGAAGTGTAGGTGCTGACATTATCGTGCCGCAAAGGGACGCCGTAAAATCGATGATGTTGTTTTTTCACGCATCGCCTTTTTAAGTGGGTAGGGCTGTTGAGCGCTTAGGTGTGAACGGACTGTGCCGCTGTTTGCAGGACGTTCACACCCTCATCGCAATAATTTAGCGCACAATCCAATAAATTGATCTGCTGTGCCAATGTAGCCTTCATAATAACTCGAATCACGTACGGTTTGTCACAAAACAAACAGCTTGCAGAGTTTTCTTCGGGGCACAAAAGGTTATGGTGAAATTGTAGGGCTGCAATGCAAATCACGCCAACCGATTGGTTTAGCAGGCGTCACCGGGTTCATTCTGCCACGATGTTGGCAAGTTCAGGCGTTCCAAGCATCCTCAGGTCCTTTAAACGCGGGCAGACTAAGTGTGAGGGTATACTTTGAGTCTCTGGTGGCCTGAGCGAGCGTACCAGAGTTCGAGTTCCGTTGCCTTCACAACTGATGGCTTGAATCTTAATGACGACACTCCTAACCACAATGGCACATTGACACACTCTTCGGAATCCCCCTTGTCATCACACTAAACGACTGAGTTGCTGTCGAGCCGTGTCAGTGTGGAGTAATGCCACCACTGCCACCAAGCTTGAAAGCCACATTGACACACCCCAACTGCCCACTAAGCTCCGAGGAGCGAATCATTGTATTCACCCGGCATATTTTCGCAGCTCCACCAAGACCTCGTTGGGCGATAGTGCGGTTCACCTGACGGATGGATTTTCCACCCATTTTAAGTTGCCGTATCAGCAGTCTTGTGGCACAGCATTTGCTACGTTGCCCCTCAATTACCAATTCGACATCTAGCCGTGACACCCGTAACTTTACGTCATGACAGCGCCTCACTGGCTCAAAGTTAGCAAATCACATTTTTACTTTCTCTTAATCACATTTTTGCAATCACTGATCCAACTTCCCGTACTTCCTTCACTGTCAGTAATGCATTTATAAGTGTTAATGTAGCAAAGGTTGGAGACTGCGGCCCAATGCAGCTCACCACGAAACAAATCCTTGCAGTTTGATGGGATTCATTAAAACCTAACACCTCTGTGACTGTCTACCTACTTAGACGGTGAACATTCGAAAGACTCCTGGCTCTGGCGGCAGTCAACGCGGTCTCCCAACCAACATGCGGCCGACAACTCGTTTAGCTTCGACACCTAAAACACCGCTTGTAGCAACTGACAAAGCCAAAGCCGGCGCCGCTTCAGGAAGAAACTCCAACGCCACGGTGTTGACGACAACGAGTTCTTCGTGGTTCGATTCAGACGAAACGTTTGGCCTTAACACTGAGGAGTAATTTCTACACTTTTATTCAGTCTACGTGTTTGTGTACATTTCTACTGTTTGTCATTGCATTTTTATGATAGCACCACACCTTCTCATAACTTTCCTGGGTTTTTTCCTACTGGACTTAAGTTGCAGACACGCATTATTTTGTCCATATGCTGAAATGTGTTAAGCTTCCCTTGGGGTTCGTGAAATTTGCCGTGAGTACCACTTGACAGATAGACTCCAAGAATTCGATATGAGTGCCGCATCAACAGTTATTAGTGTATTCATGTTTTTAAATAAACCATGGTAAATTGGGTAACACTTAAGGCTAGATGCCTATCCGGTGTACTAGTAAGATGTGCTCATCAAAATTGACGCGAAGAAGGTTGCACGCTAACCCAAAGACGGCAAAATCTGCATTCCAGTCGGTGAGGTGACGTGTTTGAATTAAAACGTGCTTGGATCAGATTGTTAGATATTTTCGTTTGTGGTTTGTGTACCCAATAAAATGTTAACATTGATATATCGTGTAATGTTTTGCGCGCGCACGCACACACACACACACGCGCTCAGAGTCATCGGAATTTGAGAGACGCTTGTCAGAGTTGCACAGGCGGCAGTTGTGAGTGCTCTCATCTTACAGCTGAGAATGCCTGCTCGATTCCAGTTACCAGATGCAGAGGATGGCACCTGCGTTACTGTGAATTGTGATTTCTGGTCTGATTTGATTATAGCTATAAAGCAGAAGATTGAAAATGACTACCAAATACCCGCTAGGAGTCAGAGATTTATTTACAAAAACAAGGAGATGCTCAATGACCAGACATTAATTGAGTGCAATTACAGCAAGGAGGATATCATCCTTGTACAACGCATTGCAGACAGTTATATGAAAATTCATGTGTACGACGAGGAATTTCAAGTGATGTTCGTCGAAATGGAGTCGGTGGAGTGCTTAATTAAACGTGTTGCAGAAACTCGAAAAATTCAACCAAAACAAGTGGCCTTGGAGACAATGCGCGGGACGCCGCTAGAAAACAAGGAAGCCAAGGTGGAGGATTATGGCTTGGGGCCGAATGAAGAGCTACGGCTGACGATACTGCCCGAAGATGTCATTACAGTGATCGTGAATACTATCTTTGGGACTACATTTCAATGCAACATCTCGTGTAAACAAAATATTGGCGAACTGAAGGACAGCATTAACAACTACGTTGGGTCCACTCGGGACAGCCTCAACCTCTCGTTTCAGGGGAAACAGAAGGCTGTCGATAGCGAAACTCTCGAGGAGGCTGGAATCAAGGACAACTCCCGTGTATACGTGATGCAAAGGGTTCACGGTGGAATTAACACCCTTCAATCACCGCCCTCTACAAACCGATTCACATTCATTGTAGCCACTTGACCTTTCAGTAAGTAAAACCTTTGTGCAATTGCATTTATCGATTTTGCCTGCACTCGGGTCAGTTTTGCAAGGTCACCATCAAAAGCCACGTCTCTAGGTGCTCTCACAACTGATCTGACATTACACACTTCCGTAGACTCACTAGTCTAAACGATTCCTCGCTGAGATCTGTTTTTTGTGTAATTTTTTGGGCTCAGAATATTTCCAAAAAGAAAACAAAATTGGATGGCAGCCGCTTAGTTTGAATGCATTGATTGTAACCAGGGGCTACTGGATGTGTTTGTGCTAACTAATTGCAATTCTGATTTATTCTGTGGCCAAAAAATTAAACTTTTCCGCAAGGTCAAATTTGTCCAATCAGATTCGGGAGGCTTTGGTAGAAGTGTCAAAAGTTGTGATTACTAGGACACAGAAAATCCCAAACACTATTGGCTAAATGAGAGTATTTTTGTGCTGTGGGCAAGCTGGACTTCAAATGAGTGTGATGTGTGGGAAGGGATTTAAACGCGGCACAGGGCCGATGTGAAGATGGCCAATTTGTATAGCTAGGTGTTCGTGGATTTCGTAATGAGGCACTCCAATCTTAGCCAAAAATCGATTTTAGGGCGGGTTTGAATGGATATTCAAAAGCCGATTTTAGCAAATTAAAACGCGACTGTCAAGGGAGAACCAGACTGTAGCTGGAAAGGGTTTATGAGTTTGAATTGTAGTTAGTGAAGTCGACTCAGAGCGATGCTGGTCGTAGAAATGAGCAAACGTGAAGCACGCCAAGTCCCCTTCATGTTGAAACACATTGCTATGCAGTGACTCGTGGAAAGTTTTGGAGCGAGTGGTCCTGTGTGTGATGTCTTGCGTTTCTTCTACACTTTTTCACTTAAATTTTTAGCTCAAAGATCTCAATTTGAAGAATTACGCAAGCCATTGGGTCTGAAGGGCCAGGCCTAGTCGATTTCCGAAGTAACCACCTCCAGTAGCCTGTAGATCTGTGTGTTAGAACCAACTTGTTCCACTTTCACAAGCCAAATTCTCGAAAAACGTTGTTAAGGCCTCGCAGCAGCACATATTCCCTTACTATTGTCGTTGCTATTTTTGTCTCACAGTCTGTGGTGTGTGTGTGTGTGTGACATGGGGCTGTAGCAAGCAACGTGCATCATTGCTTGCACCTTCCGCTGGATTTTGCCAGTGTCATGTGAAAGTGAGGTCGACAACGCGCACTACTTTCATGACGTGCGTGTAGACAACTGTGTTCGCGTCAAATAGTCTGGAATTTCAGTGAATACCAGACCTTTGGCAACTTCTGCACGTCTAGCGCTCCAATAGAAACCCAAATAGCGGCCGAGTTTGGCATAACCACAAAACCCTATAGTTAACCGTCGGTCACAACCCGAGAAGGGAGAAGACAAAGGGTCGACAGAAGACACCGCCTTTATTGGCGTCACGCCAGTCAAGTCGAGTAAAATCGATTCGCGTGAGTTACAGGCGACTGCTAACAAGAACCAATAACAAAGAGGGTGAGCCATTGATACAGCCGAGCAAGCACACACGCACCACTCACGCGCGCGGTGGCTGTCTGTCCACATCGGTACATTCACGAAAAAAAATCGATTGATTTGTGTTCGCTCACGCCTGCTAACTGTGCTGGCTTGCTGCTCGCCACACCTACCACCCATGTACCTCACGAAATCACATCCCCGGAATAATGTCGGGGGTTAATGCACAGCATGGGGAAATCGTTCGAGTCGGCGACGCTAAAACCCATTTTTTTGCATCCGACGCCAAAATTCATCCATTGCAATCACACTCCGCCATCCACACATCAGAACTCGATGAAATCAGTACTAGGTGACATCTTTTGGACCTAATCTGCCATTTCAGTGGAAAGCTTTAACAACTCAATGGGTTAATTTTCATAACCTGTGTGAAGTTTAAAGACGAGTTACCGCGTATGAAACTTGAAATCGCCTTTTTATGCGTCTACGGGAATTTCCGGGCTACAATTAGCGGTAAAGATATGCATTCTCGTGCCTCAGGAATTGCTTATCGATTTTCCGAGCCCTATGTTGTTTTTGAGGACTCGAAAGGTGAATGGACCAATGGGAAGAAGGAGGGCAATATGAATGCGAAGGCTGGTGTGCATAAACACGAATGGTAACGAAACAATAGAAAATTGTGAAAATCTTGAAAGACATAGTCCTGCGGATGCTGTATTTCGTCAAAAAATTACTTGTTGCCTTTTGCTGACACTGATTTCGCAAATAGTGGACCATAATCTGCAATTTGTCTCATCACTCCGTGCGCTCCGAGAAGCGCACAAATGAGGCTAAACTCATCAAAGTCGGCATCGGTGCTGATTTTGTTGGCTGTTCACCTTCTCTCCCCCTTAGCCTCAATTAACGCCTGAATATTTTGACGCAGTGCTTCCAGGAAATTGCAAAAATGGAAAACCGTTCTACTGAGTTATTATAAGTAGTGCGTATTTTGTGGCTGCACAACCAATCGCCCTTTGCCGCGATTGGTTATTTGTTATCTGGATCAGGTGATGCATCGCCCTGCCATTGGTCAATAAACAAGTAACGCGTTCTCTTAGAAAAATCAATTTTGCTTTTCAACTTATACACAGCATGTGCGCGCCCCACTGGCGCAGACACGCGGTTTCCAGCTGACGGTGGCTATCGTCGATTGTATGGTAGAATGTACAGCGTGAGCGTATCTGTTGGGGATTGCATTAAAGCTCGCAGGCGTCCTTGAGCGGACCAATGAAAGCGAGGACTGGGATGGCGCCAAGTTCAAATGCTCGTCCTAAAAAAAGAGAGAGTTGTTTGGACATCATGGGCCCAAGCGCAAGGAAGCTGAGTCTATTCGCCAAGCCAGAAGACTGCCAAACGCTCAACAGTAAACCGAAGTGAGCACTACGCTACCATTGGTTAGTTGACTTCCTCAGTAGGAGACACTCACATTGAGCACTCGGCGCCCACAACTCTTCAGGAGGTTCACTGGGGGAGGCCGACTTCTTGCCGTCTTCTTCCTCCGTCTCGTCCGGGGACTTGTTGTTGGCTTCTAGGATCGACATCTCGGCGGCGGCGGCGGACTCAGTCCACTCCATTTTCTCCTCGTACGACTCCAGCTCTGTTGTCGTCGTCGTCGTCGTCGAGTTGGTGGAGTCCATTTTAATTGGACCCAGTTGTCCTCTGATGAAGTTCACGAGGAAAGGCACGAGGTCCGGCACCGTTCCATCCCTACCCATTCCGAGCGGAGGAAAAAGCGGGAGCGCGTGGTTCAGAGATCTTGCCTCCACGACGCTTCCTCCTCCACCACCACCTCCCCCTCCACCGCCCTCGTGTAGCGCCGTGTGCTGTTGCATCTTGCCCACGCGCACGAAGGAGTAGCCGCATCGCAGTCGGAGGCAGTGGAAGTGGTTAGTGTCCTTCTTGGCGTAGCACGAAGGGCGTCGACAGTCGATGGAGCGATCAAAGTAGTCGTAGCCGGGTTCGATGGTGACCTGAGCGTGAAACTCCCTGCGGTGGGTGTTGAGCACGAAGAGGCTGGCCGTGGCCATGTGGCATCGCGGTCGGATGCAGTGGAAGTGGGCTTGCCTACCAGCGTGGAACGGACAACACCTGTCCACGCACGCCGGACCATCCGATTGGTAGAACTTGGCCCCACCGGCTATCATGTCGGGCTTGTTCGTCAAGAAGTCCTCCATCGTCAGCTCGACGTGAGGCGTCGGATCGGCGCATTTGTCCGGCGACACCTCCAGCCTCGGCACGTGGATGTCGCGCGAGTGTTTGGGGGGGCGACCGCGTTTCCGCTGTGTGGCTCCCGGTTCCACGGGAAGCGAGGTGGCCTGCTCCTTCACTTGAACAGCAGCAAAGTGGTGATCGTGTCGTGCGAGATGCCGCATCAGACTTGGCGGTGTCGACGAGACCTCGGCTGTGAAGGTACAGTTCGGCCAGAGGTAACAGTGGAGGTGGTCTTTGCCCGCAACGCCAAGGCCACACGAACCGCCTGAGCACCGGCTGTAGCCAATCACAGCCAGTGTCGACTGCCAGGCGTGAGTGAACCAGTGCTCCCGCCACGCGTCCATGTCCCCACTAGACAACGTCGGGCACTCCACTGCCGAACCGCCGTGTGTCTCCTCCTCGTTGGCGTCAGCATCCACGACGTCCATGCATCCAGTGCGGTAACAGTGGAAGTGTTCCATGTCAGTGCCATTGAGTGAGCACTGCTGGCTGTCGCAGGACTGGCCGTCCTTGAAGACCTTCAGGGAGGGTAGCACGTCCTGAAGGACCTCATCGGCGGTCTCCGTGTCCACGTCGTCGTGGAGGTGCTTGAAGCCCGGATTCTGGAACTTGTGCCAGCACACCTCAGAGATCTTGGTGACCCGCTGAAGGATTCTCGCGGTGGAGGTGATGGTCTGTGGGTCCACGAGTGGCGAACCCGGCTGTGGAGAGAGTTTGGGGGTGGTGGTGGTGGTAGAGGGGGTGGTGGTCACGTCACTGCCGTTCTCGAAGGAGGTTGGGGTGATCTGGTGGGGTTGAGAAGCAACAGGCGACGGAAAAGTGAGCAGCTCGCGGCGCTCGTGTTTCCGCTTGTGTGAGGAAATTTGACTAGCCGAGTGGACGATGTAGTCGCAGCCTGAAGAAGAAGGAACGAGAATGACATGCATTTTGAAGGGACAACACCGACGGCGTGTTGTCCGTGCTTACCTGGTCGAATGCAGTGGATGTGGTTCATTATGCCGGAGTACTTGCATCCGAGGTATTTACAGTGTTCGGACTTGGTGTATTTACGAAAGCCGTCCTTGGCAATTGCGTCGTTCTTTTGGTGGTGATTCTTGTGCTTTTCTAAAAACGAGGCATTCTGTAATGCGTAAAACGCAATCGACCAAGCTTATACAATTCAAGCTACTGAAATTTCTCTAGTAGTGTGTGTATTTATCGGCTTTGACCTCTTACCCATGTCGGCCTTATTTTTGAAAGTGAAGTTACACCCAGGCCGGCGGCAATGAAAGTGCGTAGTCCGCTCACTGGAAAAGGGGCAGTCGTTACTTCCGCAGTCCTCGGCAGCTCGAAATCGCTGGAAGCCCTCCTGCAAAATCACGGCGTCTTTTCGGTGGTAGTTGGCGTGCATTTGAACGTCCGAGGTGCTAATGTAAATCTAAAATAGTGTGCCCCATTTAGTGCTCTGCACTCTAAGCCGTGGCCAGTTTGAAACAGCCAGCAACTACGCAAAATCACAAATTTTCTCGTTCGCATTGGCACGCAAAGTCCTTATCGGTCATTTCGTCTCAAGATGAACTTTACTCGGAGGCTAAAAGTAGTGACGCAAGCGGCGTTGTCATGGCGACAGGTTGTTTAATGAAAACACTTGGCACGTGCGTGTGCGCGGCTAATTGATTAAATCTATGTGCAAAACGTCAAATTTTGGTATAATCCACGCGTGCGCCACTAGCCTACCCTCACACCCCTGTGGCATAATATAAACGGTTGCCGCTTTCGAAGATGCAAATTTTCAAAAAGATTCCCGTTGGCGCCAAGGGCGGTACCACAACCACAATGTTTAACGCATCGTGCACTCTTTATCGCCTTCCGAATGCACACTACTTAAGGCATTGACACCGTGAGTGGATTTGGTTTTTTTTGAGACGAGAATTTAGCATAAAACTTGCAAAACCACTCCAGTGCTTGTAGCCGTGAATCGCATTGTCAGTCTTACCTTTGAGCAGTTGGGCCTGAGACAGTGGTAGTGGGTTTGCTTCATGTTGTGCGTGCAACTGCTGACGCCACAGTCGTCACCCGGGCTGTAGCGCATGAACCCGAACTGGAGGCTCTCCTCGCGTTTCTTGTGCCATTTCAGGTGACGAATGGTCTCCTCGCGGCGATTTATCACCTAAAATTCACAAGGACGACTCTTGGTTGGTTGCCTACACGGCACAGGCACTGTGAGCGACAATCAGCTGACAAAACACGCGCGTCCAGAAACAAAAATCAATAATCAGCTGTTTGTCAGCGCATGAACGCCGTGCGCTGTGACCTGCCTCGTCGCATTTACCAATCAGGATTAACAAAACTAATCTCTGCACAACCGTTTAACTCACGATCACTGTGAACGCCTTATCACACGCAAGAAACACACACCCCAACTACCATCTTGAACTTGTGCTGGCCCTCGCCGTACAATTGGTACTTTTAGCGACTGTTGACCGCAAGAAAAGCAAAAAATGCGTGTGTTATTTTCGGTCAAACCGTAGGTTAACGCGATGCAACAGTTGTTAGTGTTTTGCCGTAAAATCCTAAGCACATCGTGGCCTCTTGGCGTGATATCAGAGGACACGAGGACAGAATGTCCTTTCTGAACAGGTATAAGCCCTGCTTGTGAATGAGGATACGTCAGCTCTTCGAGGTCAACCACCAAGGTCACAAGAAAACAGATCTTGTCGAAGGACCAATGTCCTGGATGTGTTTTTACCCTGCTAATAGCACCACCACCACCACCACCACACAGTAGCAGTCTAGCGGCAACGTTAATTTGAGAGGCTGGGGGGGGGGCTGAGCAGAGCCACAATGTACCTTCGAACGTCTGTAACCCGTCAAAATACCACGCCACAGATGCGCTCTTGGTGAAGGTCGTTAGAATGCCTTGATCAACCGACAAATGAGAAAAAACCGCATATCGTTACCTTTTCACAGTGGGTGCAATGAAAGTGCTCCCGGTGGCCGGCTGTTCTGCAGTGGGGGTTGCCGCATTCGTGGAAGGAGGAGAATTTCTTCAAGAGCTCGCTCTGTTCAACTGACGTGGAGGAGATCTGACTTCTTGAGTAGAGATCGAGCAGTGGAATGTAGTCCTTCGGAGTTATGGGACCTAAATGCACGTTCGATTATAAAAGATCACCATCGACGCTGAACCAGGACTCTAACCCAATGAGATCTGAACACCACACACACTGCCGTACGCGGACCATGACAAGGAATTCCTTGTCGTCTGCATTGCAGATGTTCTTGTTGGCTTTGCCTAGAATTTCGAGGCATCGTGAAGTCTGGGGTGTAAGATGGTGCACTTTGGTTTAAGTGAATTCATGCGGCTTACATTGGGCGATGTTGCTTGAGAGTTGGAAGGCTTCTGGTGGGAATGGAAACAGCGAAGCCTGGGAGTTTCCGTGGAGGGGGGCAGAGCAGAAGAATGGAAGACCCCGAGACGCAGTGATGCCGCCATCCAACATCCCTACCCCCCCTGCGGAGACGGTGTTGGGGAAACTAGGGGGACTTGAGGTGGTGCGGACGGAGAGATCGATCGCGCTGCCCTCCGCCTCCTTGGGAGGCTGGCCATTGGCGCAAGCGGGAAAGAGGAGTGGCAGCAGCACTGGCGGCGCGTTCGAGCCCAAGGGCACTGGGACGGTTAAAACAAAAGACAAACACACGTCGCGTTAGGGACCCTCGTGCGGCCGAGTGTGCAAATACGGGGCGATAGTGGAATAAAAATGAGAAATGTGCGTGTCAGCCCCGCCACAATGGACGGGCAAGTTTTTTTGGTATGAAGGGGATATGTGCGTGACACCCCAGTGCCCCCACCCCACCCCGTTCCGGTTTGTATAGAAAGCGGAGTAATAAAATGTGCACTTGTGTTTAAATTATTATTATGACAATTATTGCCAACGCGTGTCTGACGCCTTGTTTGTGCCGGGAAAGAGCACCAATTTGACGTGTATGTATAATTCAGGGGTTTTGGGGTGCACAGCGCCGTAGCCCGCGTGCACCCCCCACCCCGCCCCACCGTCCTACACACACACACACGCGATTTTGAATAGTCCAATATTATTGCCATGGCGACGATGTGTGTGTGTGCGTGTGTGTGAGTAGTGTAAGTGTCAGTGGTTCGTTAAATAATTTACAAGATTCACGCCTCTCAGTGTGATATAGTGCATTTTATGTACAAAAAATAGCATTAGCGCAACGGTAATCTGTTAGTCCCCCGCCCCGGCTTGTGTGCACAAACACGCCCTGAATGGTTCCCGCAGCGGTTCATGCCAACCCCCAACCGACAACACACCTCAGATTGGATATAACTAGAATCGGTTCGTTACAGGATGGTCGTAGCCATCGAGAAACGAGCTAGGTTGGCTGCTCTTTCGCTGGGTGGGTGGGTGGGTGTAGGGGGAATGTTAAATGCTCCAAAGGTGTGAAAACAGGGAGTTTAAGGAAAACAGCATTCCAACCTCCCCGACAGACTACCTGGACTTGAGCACGTTCAGGTCGCGTGCCTTTTGTCACACACACAAAAGTTGTTAAGTCAATTAGAATGATTGCGCCGTTTATCCCACGGATGCCTCGACGCGAACTTATTGAATTTTTTTTCTTACTAATTCTTTATAACACACACACACACACATCCACGTTTGATGTGACTTCGCAGAAGTTTCGCTGCTTACAGATTAATCAGCTTTGATCTTGGCGTGTAAGAGTGTGTGTGTGTGGTGTTAAATTTTGTTCAAACTAAAAACAAGCGCGCCGGATTTGAGGTTGCTCTACAACTGTTTACTTGGGAACACTGTTCACTCTGGAAAAAAATCGATATTCATTCATGCGCCTGTCAAAATTCCACCTCTCCGCAAATCGATTACGCGTGCCTCTCTGACACGCGACCGAGGTCTGGTCATTTGAATTACTGACCCTAAAGTCACTGCCTGAGGGAACGCCTAAGCATTCAAATTCATAAGCTTCGCCGATTAAGTGTGGTTATGAAATAGAATGTGGCATTTATGCTTTTTAAACTCATGGCGCAAGCATTGACTGGCAGTGGCAAATGATCATTGTGTCTACAGGTCAGGCCCATGGTACCCTCACAATAACGCAACCGTGCAAATCATTTTCCTGGCATCGAGTAACTCTGTTTGTGCGCATGTGCACAAACATGAACAGAGATTTAGCTATCTGGCCAAATTTTCCATTTGATTTCTCAATTTATAAACAGCACAGCGTGAATCGACACACACACACGCACACACGACAGAGTCACAGAACTGGCCAGCGATTCACATAAATTCCACTGGCCTGTCCCCCTAGAGTGACCGTTGGTTGATGTGGATTTCGCATCCACGATGGTGACGTCTGTTGTCAGTTGTTTGAACACACTGCCACAGTTTATTGCGGCAAGGTCGTCGTTAACTGACTGCGAATAACACACACACAGACACACTCTCGCAGTCACACTGATGCCTTTTCCAGATATTCCACTGTCCCCAAAAACGCCCGTCTGTGGACAGGTCGATTTGCAGCGCACGAAAGTAATCAATGGAGACAGCGTTCTAGTTAACAATCGTCCGAATTGGTGAAATTTTGGTGAGGCCGGAAGTAATAACCACTACCGGCCTTGGGTGTCCATAAACCGTTGCATGGTATCAACACCTCCCCCACCTCAACAACCCCGCCACTCAACCGCTTTCGCGGATTATTTTGAAAATTTATATTTCGTGAATGAGTCAGCCGCATTTTTTGCATTGATACAGAACAAAGCGTCTGTTTATGGCACAAAAGTTTGTGTGCGTGTGTGTGAGAGATAGAGAGAGCATAGACATGTTCTACCCACTGACACGTTCAGGCCAAGTCGCTACTCTCTGTGGTCACGCGTAGCGATAATAGGTGAGACATGGGGGGGGGGGGGGGGCGGGGGGGGGGGGG